GACAGTGCACTTCGGGGGCCTGGGGGTTTCCCTGCCCTTCGCATGGCATCACACCACAGTGCTCTCCAGCCCGGGAGCCCTTAAAAGTGCACACATGTCACATAGCACCCTGAGAGTGTTGCTCAGGTGATTGTGTCAGCTCGGAAGAGACCAGTTAGCCTGATGGTCTCCTCCATTCCCATCATCTGTCCACCATTTACATTTGCTCTTGTCTGACATTTTTTTAAACTTGAGAATTAAAAACTGAATTTACAGTATGTTGTTTTAAGTATTATGCTTTTTGGATTCATAGGCAAATACCTTCTTCTTTAAAGTAGATTTGTTTCTCCCTCCCTCCCTCCCTCCCTCCCTTCTTCCCTTCCTCCCTTCCTTCCTTCCTTCCTTCCTTCCTTCCTTCCTTCCTATGTATGTATTTTGCTTGTTTAGTGGGATTCACTCTGGCATAGTAGAAAGAGAGTGAGATGTGGAGCCAGACAGACCCTGGTTGGAATCCATGCTTTTCTATTAGCTGTGTAGCCTTGGCATAGGGTGACCAGCTGTCCTGGTTTGTTGGGGGCTGAGGGGTTTCCTGGAATGCAGGACTTTGAGTCTAAAACTAGGACCATCTTGAATAAACCAGGACAGTTGACGACCTTACTTGGGCAAGACACAGCCTCACTGAGCCTTGGTTTCTTTCTTTATCTATGAAACGGGCATAATAGTACCTGTCTCCTGGGTAATTTTGAGGATTGGGGCTAAGTGTACAAAAAGTGCCTGAAGCTATATCTGAGATGTCCTAGATTTAAACAGATGATAATTGGGGCGCCTGGGTGGCTCAGTCGTTAAGCGTCTGCCTTCGGCTCAGGTCATAATCCCAAGGTCCTGGGATCGAGCCCTGCATCAGGCTCCTTGCTCTGCGGGAAGGCTGCTTCTCCCTCTCCCACTCCCCTTGCTTGTGTTCCCTCTCTCACTGTGTTTCTCTCTGTCAAAAAAAAATCTTAAAAAAAAATGAACAGATGATAATTATAATAATATTAACATTCATAATTATCTATTTTTTAGGCTCAAACTGATCTTTCACCATCATTCAATGCCTTTTCTTAATTTCTAATGTCTGTTCAAGAAAGGGGAGTTTATTCTGGGTATGGGTATAAAATGAAGATATTCTTGGAAAGTACTGAAAAGTATAAAGAAAAAGTATCCTTATTATATCCCCAACCAGAAGCAACCACTTTAAAAATACTTTGGATCCAGGTTTACTATTCTAAACCATTGATATGTATCTTTGGGCATAAATATTTACGATTATTTCCTTAGGGGAAATTCAAAAAAGAGGGATTGCCCAATTAAAAGACAAATATTTTTAGCCTTCTTTTATATTAGATATAATATTATCTTTACATTCCTCCAAAAATCTAAGTTGACAGAACAAAATATGATGTTTTCTATGAAGGGAGTTGTGTGTTCCTTGTCTCCACACAGGACCCAGCTCTCCCTGAAAGGCTCTCTAAGGAAGAAGTCTGATTTCTTTCAGCAATCCCTATGGTAGTGGTGGCTAAAAGATTTCACTTATTTGGTCATTTGGTAGTAGTTACTTTTACGATTGAGTATTGTGGTGGTATGCACACTAAAAACCATTGCTGTTAGAACCTTTTTTTTTGGTAGCTAAATTAAATACTTTAGTAACATTTTATCTCCATGATACAGTATCTTGCACTCAATATTAAACCAAAAGGAAATTGTTTATCTTCAACTCTTAATACATTTTAATGCTCATTTCATATTAATTTGAGCTATTATAAAGAGAATAATCTCTTTCCTTTCTAACTGTGGATTGGTAGGTATGAAAAATCAGCCTGGCTTCAGCTTGAAGAATGAAATAGTTCAAAAGCAGTTCTGAGGCACCTGCGAATGCCTAAGAGTTGAAAAATCAAAGAAATTATGGTCCTTGCTGAGGTTCCAGAGATATTACTGGGTGTTTGAGTGTGTGTATCTGTGAGTGTGCATTTATGTATGTGAGTGTGCCTGTGTGTGTATGTGTGTGTGGTTGCTGACCAGTGTCCACAAGTTTCGGGCTGCTCACTTAGACTGGTCATAGGTTGGAGGTTAGTGGGGTGAGATCAAGATTGTTGGAGAACTAGAGATGAGGTAGGTAAAGCCCTAAATGCAGTACTGGTGATTACAAGGAATCAATAAAAAAATAATGAAAACACGTTGGTGAATTATTGTAAGTGATCCTTCAAGTTCACATAGCTGGTTGGTAGTGGAGTCAGGACAAGAAGTTCTGGTTTCTGATTCTGAGTCCAGTGTTCTCACCAGCAGAAAGCATCAGTTCTGAGATGCCAGGTGCTTTGGCAAAAACTGGGGCCATTGCAGTGGTTGACCCTATGTAATGTCCTGTGGAGGCAGGGCAGGTCTGACTATTACCCTAGAAAAAGCTAAAAGAATTGGCCATCCCATAGAGACCTTGATTAAACCTCCTTTCTTTTGGACCTCAAGGTGGTGACAGGAATACTCAGTAGTCAGCAGCTTGGGATTCCCCAGGGATTTTTATGGATAATGGCAGTGAGTCATATTTTGAGCACGTATGGTATGATTTGATTCCTTCATTTATGTCTTTGCATGGGAGTCTTCAAAATGCCCCTAATCTTAGGAAATCTAATTTGAATAGCTCAAAATTATATAACTGAGGACAGTTTTCTACTAACCAGTTTTGTCATCCCATTTGTTTAAAATTTGTTGTAAAATTTGGGTCATTTTTAATTATCCATTTTCTGTGAGAACCAGAGTAATGGAGCCCAATGTGAGACTCGATCCCAGGACCCCAGGATCATTACCTGAGCCAAAGGCAGATGCTTAACTGACTGAGCCACCCAGGCGTCCTGCTTACGTTGTTTCTATAGCTTGATTCAGCCTCAGTGAGTACAGCCAATTGAGCTGGTAAAGTCAGCCTTTGACAGCATTAAGAGGACAGGTATTGGCTCTCCTGTTTTACTAGCTCTTGGGCAGGCCAATGATATTAGACACTTTAGGCTGGTGCATTGAGGGTCAGACAGGCTAAACGTGGTCCCTGGATCCGATGCCACATGCGTGCCTGCTCTGGAAATTCCTTTTGATTCAGGCTTCTCAACTTGCGGGAACCACTAAGTGGGTGGGATCAGACCTTATTGGCCTCCAGGCAGCCAGGCTTCTGCTGAGCAGACAGATTCTGCAAGCAGAAACACTCCAGAAGACGCCCTCAGCTTTGAGGTGCTGAGACTCCTCCCCTCCACATCCTGAAGCTTAGGACAAAAGAGCAGGAGCTGTTCAAATGTGAGATAATAGTAATTTTAATATTTAGTTCACAAAACATGCAGGTCAATAGTCAATGCATATACAATAGGACAGAGCAACAACAAAAAAATTACAAAGCCCAATCTAACTACATGGAGGCTTTCAAACAATGAAGTGTTGGATAGAGACTGTGCTAATTAAAAACCCAGCTGAGACACACCTCAGTGCCTCAGACCTGACCAAGGAATTTCTGGTGGTAGGAAAAAGAGCTCATTGTGCCCATGGCCTTCAAGTCAAATCCTGAGAAACTTCACAATCTCCATGCCCTGGACTGCTCAGTTTTGTCTTCCCCCCATCCCTCCTTTTTTTTTTTCTTTCTTTTTTTTTTCTCTTCTTGGATTATCTATCCAACCTTTATCCCATCTCAGATAATGAGTTCCATGAATACTCTGATGTAGCCTAGAACCATTGCTGTCTCAGTGAGAAGGGTCTCTGAGTTTGCTGTGGCTGTTGGTGAATAAAATTCCTCTCTGTTTAATGGGCTGTGATCTGGTTTTCCCCAGACATAATCTGTTGAGCCTGAAGACCCCTATGAATAGTCACCCATCTCCCTGGAGGCCACTTTCATAAGCACTATTGGTACTAAGGACTTTTTTCCCCAATAATAACCCAATGGTGAGATTTCCCCAGTGTCAATGCTGCTCCCTGATTCGGTAGTTTTGAGACACTGCCCTTATTTTAGTTCCCAGGGGACCTATTCTGGCTCTGGTGCTGAGATGGAATTCTGGTGGCCTCGAAGGAGTTTAGGCTTTCTGCAGCAGGGATGTGACACAGGGAAGGTGTGTGGCTGCCAAGAGCTTTCACTTCTTGAGCATCCAATGGTCCAACATCTGTAGGTGAAGTTAGTGAAGGGAAGAGCTCTCCCAGTAACAAAGCTGACCACAGTGCCTAGAAAGTGCTCCTGTCAACTGACAGTGACCTTCTAGTGTGCACAGGCGTCACTTGCCATAACATTACCTCCAGGCTCATCACTTTGTTGTTGCTGTTGTCTTTTGAAAGAACTGGTTTTAACCCCCTCAGTTTCATCATTTGGTTTTTACAGGGTTACACTGTATCTGTCTTGTGTAGTCACAGTCTCCGAGAGTTCAAAGGGAAACAATTAGGATCAGTGAACATTTCATGGAACTCAAACTTAAGTGTGATTTTACAAAGTCAATATAGACAATATCAAAGCAATTATATTTTCATTTTCTTCTATTCACTTGCAGGGGTGAGGCTAATTCAGAGACAATGTATCATTTCACTAACATATTACTTATTCTAACTATATCGAGAATACCATATATATTCAGATTACCCACAAATATCCTTTTCTCATCCTTCCAGGGACATTTTCTGGCCTATGACAGAAAGAGGACTTGCAGTGGGGAGCCCAGGAGACCCCTGGCGGTGTCTTGCTGGAATTAGCAGATGCAAACAAAAGCAGAAAGCTTTCCTTAAACTGAAATTGCTTTGGTCCAGGTAATGTCAAGATCACAGTGTAAGAAAACTCAGATAATGAGCTGGAGACATTACAAATATCTTTCCCCATCACCTCTTCTTCAATCAGTGTTTATTAGTAGCAGGTTGGCGGGGGAGGTTAAAATCAAATGGCAGGAAATGATGTCTTTTGATGGACTCTCCTTTTTTCTTTGCAGAATTGTTCTGGGGGACGAGTTGGGAAATAGATCATCGATGCGTTATTGTCTGATAGGAATTCAAACCACAATCTATCATCAGATTAGAAAGGTTAAATTAAAAAAAAAGAAATAGAAGATTGAAAACTGTGAACTGTTGCCTCGAATTCATATCTGATAACTCAGCTGTTTTTGTGATGGAACATTAGAGACATAGAGACATGTGGCCCAGACCATCTGGCCTCCTCGCGGGTGAAATCAAAGTTTTTCTAACTTCCAACTGTGAGTCAAAAGCAATCAGGAGTCAAGGTAAAATTTCCTTGTTTTTCAAGTGAGCTCTAATTGGGGGGTTCTTCTGCCCATGCTGAGGTGTCTTGGAGCGCTACACATAGTCGTACTTGGAAGGATGAGATTGTACCTCGTCCTCTGTGTGGACACCCCCTTCGTATATCTTCTTGTTTTTGCTATTGGGCCCAAAGCCAGTGCTGGCCTTGAAGCCTCCAGGCTTGTAGGCGACATTGTGGCCCGAGGCATGATAGGACACGGCTTTGTAGCTGAGAGAAAAAAGAAACAGTCCATGACCACGGATGTATTTGGTAAGAGGACAGCCCACTCCGTTTACCCTGGGGTGTTTCGGTTTTAGCACTGAAAGTCCAGCATCCCAGGAAACCCTCAGTCCTGGGCAAACTGAAATGGTTGATCGCCCCAGGCTTTGAGACACTGGTTCCAGGGGAACATGGTTATGCCAGAAAAATCACAGAATTTGTGAGCTGGAAGGCACATACACGGAGCCCATCTCCTCTAATCTGCTTGGATTATGGATAAGCTAACAGAGGCCCAGAGAAGGCAAATGATTTACTAGAAATCACAGGACTAGTTAGCAGTAGATCCGGCCCAGGATCCAGGTCTCCCAGCTCCAGGTCCATGTAGTGGGGTACAGTGGGGTTTCTCTGCAGCGGGACTTTGGCATTTTGGAACAGATGCCTCTTTGTCATGAGGGCCTCTCCTGTGCATCATGGAAGGTTTAGCAGCATCCCTGGTCCCCACCCAGTAGATCCCAGTATCACCCCCACCCCACCCCAAAGCTGCAACAATCAAGAGTCTTCAGCTGTTGCCAAATATCCCCTGGTAGGCAGAATTGCTTTCAGCTCAGAACCACTGAGTTACAGAATCCTGAAGTCAGAGGGAACCTAGGGCGATATTTTTTTTTCTCTCAAACAGGATCATTCCTAAATCCACTCAGCTGAAATGTTCCTATTCTGTTCTTTAGGTTCCCCATAAAAGAGAAGGTTCAGGATCATTTAGTTAATAAGTTCTTCCATAAACCTAGACTGATCATTCTGTCTGCAAATTATACTTTAAAATGGACTCAGATTAAATGTCTGATTGCACTGGGATGGGGAGACTCACTTGGTTTCCTCAGGCACCAGGCCCCGGCAGGCGATGCACATCATCACACCCCCAATCAGTGTGAGGCCCCCGGCGACCCAGCCCACGAACAGAGCCGAACCAAAGGTGTACCTGAAGGGGAAAATGAGACGATCAATGTGGGCAACGCAACCCTCCAGGCTCCACCCACTGCACTTGGCCACGCCCATCCTCTCTGTCAGCTCTTTTGGGTTCCACACCCATCCCCGCCCATGCCGCTGAACACACTCTCCTTTGGGTCACGGCCAAGTGAATGAAGTACCCTAGAGAACAGAACTGGGACTGAAGCTAGTCAGCAAAACAGCAGTGGGATTCTCGGGCCCCTAGCATCACTCAGGCATGGAATTAATTATAAGTCTCTAATCTCAGAGAAACATCTCTGGAAATCCACCTCCCTCCCTATTGTCATTGGGAGTATCTTAAAGGTTTAGCAAGAGGAATTTGAGAGATGTGGAATCAGTCTGAAGTTATTATTTCTGAAGGAATTTTGGCCCTTTGAGTTCTTCTTGTGGGCCAATAAGCTTTCATCTTACCTAATTCAAGTACCCCGGTAGCCGTCCATGCAGGTAGGAGCATTATCTTCAGAAAGAACTAATATGAAGTGACCATTCATTCTTTCATTCCTCGTTTACGCATCTGTTCAACAAGTATTTATTGAGCTCCTACTATGTGCCTGACACTGCCCAGGCACTGGGACACAGGGGCGAACAAGATTGACACAGACTCCACTTTCCCGGTGGTTCTGTTCTAGCCCACACTGGAGCTTAAAACTGTGGTCATCTGACTCTAAAGTTGGTACTCTTCCCCTAGGAGGGATGCCTCCATGGGACTCATTACCTCTGAGCAGGATTGTCTGAGAACAAAGTGTCCTGAGAATAAAATAATTCTGATTCCAAATGGACCTTTGTAGGTGAAGACTGTGACCAAAAACTGTTAGGAAGTTAATGGGTATTTTAGTGTTAGCTGGTAACTTTCCCTTCCCTAAGCTGGTGTCTCCTAGAGCCCTGCAGAAAAGGAGAGCTCAGCTCAGTGGATACCTGCCCATGGAGGTTTTCCTCTTGGGCTCATCAAGGAGCATGGGACTGTTTGTGGAACACCATGAATCACTGGTATGTTTAAAAATCACAAACTAAGAACATTATACCAGTAGTTGGAAGACAGAAATATGTGTGCAGACCTCTGCAACCTAAGAAAATAAGATATTTTAGATGTGCTTAAAAAGTACACACATTTTAGCAGGATCAAAGTAAGCCATATAAGAAATATAAGCCTGATGACCAAGTGTAATGTAATGTAAAAGTTGGTGATTAATTCAGGTTATAAAATGAAATGTTTAGGCTAATACAAAACACCTCACAAGCTGCATATAGCTTGAAGGCAAGCAGTTTGTAGCTCAGGTACACTCAGTGCAGCAATAGCAGAGGATGGGATACCAGAAAGCCAAATGGGGTACCAGAAAGCCCCTTCAACTGATTGCCAAGATCTCTCTTGGAAGCTGTGCTGTCTTGTGTGATTTCTGGGTAGAGAGGATGAGGAGACAGAAAGAAGGGAAAACCTGCGCCCATCCATGGAAGAAGGCATTCAGGAGGCCTCTCATAATCCTATAGTCTCGATCTCAGGACTGAATTTGGCTGCCCAAGGGACGGGGCAGGTTCTAGGGAGATGGTGTGGGAGAATGATGGAGGGCATTAGTCTAGGTGCCAGTTGGGTGGGTGACTCCTCTGGGCAGAGGCAGTGACCCTAGGCACCCAGATACTCCAGATAATGTGGGATCTTCTAAGTAGGCTGACCAACCATCCTGATTTGCCCATGAAAGTAGAGTTTCCCAGGATGTAGGACTTTCAGTACTAAAACTGGTAAAGTCCCAGGAAACCCAAAATGAGCTGGTCAGCCTACTTCTCAGTTGTCCTTGTAACCAAGAGATGATGGAAAGATCACAGAGGAGGATGGGGGGAGCTTATGGGGATCATTTCCTCTTCTCCTGAAATAAAGCAGGAACATGGATTGGGACTAGAGTTCCAGGGAGCCAGAGAGTAATGGATTCATCACATCTTCATCCCCTGTTTGTATCCCATGACGGTGTGGCTGGAGAAATACCAAGTGTATGCACTCCAGAGATGATGGGTCACTTAGATATGATATTTACATCACTCTCTCAGAACCAGATCTTTCTTCCTCAAGAATTTGCTGCTGCTTCTTGCTTTGAAATACATCCCTTTGAAGTGGCTAAATGAATATGAGTGTTGGAATTGCCCTTCCATCATTTAAAAGTTCTACCCTCCTTCAGACACCATCTCCCTCAGCTAGACCATAACCTCCATGAGGATGGGGACCTTGTCTTATCCCCAGCACTCAGAACAGTTCCTGGCCCACAGCAGGTACTCCATACATTTGTAGAATGAATGCATGTGTGAATGAGAGGAAGACACATCTGTACAAGGAAGACACATAACATTACTCTTCTCACCTGTACTGCACCTTGCTCAATTCTACTCAAGGTTTCACCTGTCCCTAGCCAGGTTCCCGTCATGACCTGGAGATGCGGGTTGAGGCTCATTTACATGCCTGGGAATAGTGCCTGTTTCATTGCCACCACAATGGGGCCTGTGTAAGCATGTTAGATAAATACTGTGAACTGTCACGGTATTTCAATGCAAACGTCAGCTCAGCCTCAAGTCATAGCACCAAGGATATTTCGCTGAAATGAAGTTTATGAATTTACAGATCATAGTTGATTTATGATATGGCATGGTTGCCTCTGATAAATTTTTGCTCTTTCAGGCACTGACAGTCACATTAGGCATATGTGTTTAATAGGATTTTTACAACAATATTCACCACAGAATACTAAGACTAGATTAGGAGGTTACCTGGTCTGAACGGTCTGCACCATCCCACCCATGCCGGTGTACATGTTAGCTGTAGACATCCAGAAGTTAGTAACCAGCATGTTGGCAAATACAGATACTCCAGTGATTGCACAGAGACCTGCGGGCCAAGAATGAGAAAGCTCTAGAGTCAGCTTTAAAGGGATCACAATGTTTCTGAGGCAATGTGTGCTTAAATGAGTTTAGATGAGCAGGCTGGAGAATATTCCATTCCTGTAACAGAATGGTTAATCCAAGCATTGATTACTGAATTCCCACTATGTGCTAGACATTGTGTGAGGTGCTTAGACTCTCTTATCTCTCTAATTGTGGAAGGATTTGTATGTGTGCAGAAAGAGATTTTCCATGCATCTTGGGACAAGAGATTAATAATACAAATATTTTGGGCCTGATGATGTCAAGTGCTCTTCCTTTAGAATCATTTTTCTAGAGTCCAACCAAAATAATGCCTTTAGGGACTGAGTCACATGACTACCTTAGGATTGAGAATCTCTTCTAATAAAGTGGGGTGGCAGCTAAGGGGGACCTTAACACTCATGACAATTCTGTAGCGCATAATTGAGTCCTAATCTTAGATCTTGAATCCCAGTGTGTAAAGCTCTGATCCATGTTCAAACCATGCTCAGTAGGGAGAAGCCGTGTTTCCTCTGCCAGAATGATTTTGCTTTGACACTCCCAGAAGCCCATTTGAGAGAGGGAACCTCAGCTCCTTGTTCACCTGAGATGATGAACATGATCCCAGAGGTCAGTGTCATGTTGGCTTTGGCGGAGTCCTCCATGCTGCCAATGCGGATGCACTTCAGGGCAAAGATGGACACCAGGAGGCTGATGGCACCCAGGACGATGCCCACGATCATCAGGGCTCGCACTGCCTGCAGCATGGCTGTGGGACAAGGGACAAGACACAAGCTGACAAATAAGACCACCTCCACATGATTGATTAGGCTTTGGTTCAATAAAATAAAGCAACCACAATCAACAAGCACCAAACTCCTGAGAAATAGCAAGTCCATAAACAGTGAACTTTGTCATCGCCAGGGGATGTGGAATTGTGAGAAATGCAAAACTACCACGTATAATCCTCTGATTGTTGAAGGACCTGCACACAGTTGTCTGTGGGAATGAGAACATTGTGGAGCTGGGACAGCCAATGGAATTTAGCTATTTCATTTCCTCATTTTAAAGCTTGATAATCTGCAGTCTATGTAGAGGAAATGGCTTGACCAAGGTGACATGAAAAATTATTGACAGAGCTTACAGTAAAACTGTGTGGCTTTGACTTCTAACCCAAACATTTTTTTCCTCTAGTCTTTTCATATGGGCTCAAAGCTTCATATTGTCGTGTCCACTTTAGGAAAACCCAATATTCATTTATAGCATGCAATGAGCAAGGTTATTAGGTGGTATGTCAAGGGCACCATATTTTTGTCTCTTTCCAAAGGGACTACTACCGTCAGGATGAGCTGTAGGTTTAGGTGTATATGTAAAGACTGCTATATCAGGGTGCCTGGGTGGCTCAGTTGGTTAAGCGACTGCCTTCAGCTCAGGTCATGATCCTGGAGTCCCAGGATCGAGTCCCACATCGGGCTCCCTGCTCAGCAGGGAGTCTGTTTCTCCCTCTGACCCTCTTCCCTCTCATGCTCTCTATCTCTCATTCTCTCTCTCTCAAGTAAATAAATAAAATCTTTAAAAAAAAAAAAAAGAAAGACTGCTATATCAATCACAGGCCTTTCAACACACCCAGTTTATCAGCAGTCCCTTCTCAGGAAGCAACGGAAACTGTAGGTCCTGCTGGGACTCTCCAGCAGTGACCTCTCTTCCAGATATATCCACAGTGGTTTCTACTGTGTCCTTAATATGCAGTGACTCATCTCAACAGTTTTTTCTAAGCCCCTATGACTAGGCACAGGCATGACAGTAATTAATAGGTCAGAAATGGTCTCTGCACTCATGGATCTTATGCCGAAGTGGGGAAAGGCAGTCATTAAACATGCCCACTACAAGCATAATGCATTTTACAAAAGAAAGACAAATGAGTCCTTGGTGTTCTCCAGAGGGAAAGGCCCCAAACATGGGTATTTCTGGTAGAGCAGAACTGAAGAATTGTGTGACGCAAAGCAGAAAGCCCTGTCCTACCCTAGTTATCATAGCCAATTGTTAACTTTTTGATTGAAAGCTATTAGTGGCTTTTTGGATATTAAAAAATTTAATCCACAGTAAAAAAAAAAAACAAAACCTGCAATGCAGATGATATGATTACCTCCATTTTATAGTTGAAGAAACAGAGAGTCAGAGGTTAAGGAACTTGCCCAAGGACACATATCAAGGGACAAGCAAGAGCCGGGGTTCAAACCCAGAACTATCTCAAAATGGTTACTTTCCCCATCACAGTACATCACTTTGAGGTACCTAATCCTGGAAAAGCAGACTGCCATCGAGGTAAGGGGCTCCATAAGCACCTAAGAGAATGTATCCTCCAGGCTTGGAGACTCAGCCATGAAATATCATCCCCTCAAATGGATGCTAAAAATGTATAAAGAGATATTCTCTAAAAATCATCTCAGGGAATAACCTGTTCCAGCAGATTATTTCTAAATGTGACTCTCAAGACAAGGAATTTCCTGGGAGGAATTTCTCTCTAATCTCTTCAGGAAGATTTCCATCTCAAATATGGCTAATGTCACTGGAGCTGCCAGCTTATTCACTCTAAGGTGTGTATCATAAAGCAACTGGTTATGATGGAAGAATCGACAATCAATTCAGTCTATTGAAAAAGGAGAGGTAGATCATGCAGAACTCAAGAGCCTTCTGCATTCAAGAAGAATGGAGGCCTGGGCAACTTTCTCACCAGGTGTCTCTCTGTGTGGAGATGGTAGTACCCAGCCACTCTAGTTCTACGCCACTTGATTCTGATTCTCTTTTCCCTGAAGAAACTTTTGATTTTAACTTTGCTTCTCTACTGAGAAGAGAAATCTACACACAGTCATCATCAGTCTTGGTCCTATTGGCAACTACATTAGCAGGGTAAATATGCTGGTTTATGGTGTGGATTGATTCTGCAGGATCTGACCATTCTTTCCTGGGAGAACTGAACTGATTAACATTGGCATCTTGAGATTACAGCTGAGTTCTCATGCCAGAGCCACGGTGACCCTAGAAGGGCAAAGAGAACTCAGGAGGGCCTTGGAGTGGCCCTTGGATCTACTCCTAATATAGGAGGGCTCTAGAGTGTCACCGGTGTTCTCTAAAGCCTTGCTCAATGGCTTTGCTGGCCCTACAGGATACCAGGAACGAACACCCTACCCTGTTCATTCCCTTATTAACAAATGCAAGTGTGTGTCACCTACTTGTGTATTCATTTACATTTTTGTGTTTGCATCCAGCACATGTTGGTATATGCTCATAGTCATATGTTACATAATCATACAACTCATCCATGAATTCATTCATTCATCGAGTATTTTAAAGCTCAAATTCTCTACAAAACCCTTTGTCAGATACCGTAGAAGGTATGAAGTTTCATGGAAAATAATCACTGCCTTCAAGCAGTTTAAGACCTGGGAAGATCATATTTTTACTGGAAATCCTGAACCTCAAATTTCTTTTCACTTTGGGGATACCTTGGCTAAGTAATAATAGACCCACTTTCTCATAGTTGCTCATGATATGGTTCTAGTTCTCTTTAACATATATGATTACACCACAAGCCTGGTTCAGGACAGCTATGGAGAGGACATCTCAGCGGCAGCCCCAGACTTCAGGAAATATCCTTCAGGCTATACTAATATGTATGTTACTACCAGAAAACTGGACATATGGGAAGAGAAAGGGACTTGACTTTCTCTTCATCTTATCCCCATGGGCCTCTTGTGGACTTCAAATCCACCCAGAAACCCATTGGAGGTTTTAAACACTGCTCTCATTCTGACATTTTAAGCCTTAAACTAGTCAGAGAACAAAATCACTTATCCCTTTTGAGAACCACCTGGCAAGGCATCTGGTTAAAACAACCAAAAACCAATCAACCAACCCACCAACCAAATAAACAATATTAACGAGGCAAGATAAAGGGTGTCCCTCATTCTACAAAAACATTACATTTCTCCCGGACTCTTGGTGTGGGTGGAGTCATCGACTCTTTTGACTGAGTAGTTTTAATGTTTGTTCTTGAAAACATATCACCAGGTGGCCGTGGCTGAGGCACAGGGTCTTGCCTGACATTGCTGGATTAGAAGGCGAGACGGGCAAGTGGGAGGTCAAAGCACCGTGGGCTTGCCTCCTGTGGAGAGTTGCTGCTGCTGTGCCATGGGAGCCCTTGGGTACGGGAGCCCTGGCCAGCCTGTCCTGGTCAGCCTTGGCCTCAGGATCTCAGAGGACCTCTTGCCTCTGCTGGGTCACGTTTGCCTGACAAGGCCTTATTTCTTTCCTGCTTTCTCCTGATCTCTGGATTTCGGATGAATGCTGGCACCTGCTTTGAACCAATGGTCAACCTTCACCCTGAGCACCTTTTTATTTCTTAGACTCTGTTTCTAGCTTACTCCTACCCCTTTCTTTGCTAACTGTGGTCAGAAAAGACACAACATTGTTTTATAGCTTGTGGGACCACGTCCAGAGTCCCAACAGTGGGCCTGGATGGATGGACCAAGGTCTGCCTTGCTTTGGAGATTCCTGGAGCGGTTCTTCTGAGAGTGGGAGCTGTGATGGGGGCAGCTTCCAGGAAGTGGGAGGAAATGTTCTCCACCACTCATTGCTAGAAATCCCTTATGTCTAGTAATGACCATGGAGATGCATGCAGGTGACCTCAACTTCCTTTCCTACTGGAAGATTCTACCATATGGAGTTCTAATCCTTCATAGATAGGTAACCAGAGAAACTGCTCCCAAAGGAGGTAAGTTTCTCTTTTAGCCACTCTGTCTCTTATTTGCTATTCCAAGCAAGAGGCATATAGGCTTATCAGCTGATAACAGGTGAGTCAACGGCTCTATAGACTGATGCCCTGCACCAAAGGTGTGACTACAGCATTCTTTCCAATGAACAATGAGGCATTATCGGGCTTGAAGGGTGGACGGGATTCAGGACTGACAGAAGCAAACAGAAAATATGGGAACTTGGTGTTCCCTCCCTGTTGCAAAATATCTAATTCCCCCAAACCAGCTATGGACTGACAGGCAAGGTGCCTTTGGGTGTGGTTCCCAACACTGGTTGTACCTTAGCATCCCTTGGGGGAACTTCTAAAGAAATGTTAAATGTTTTACCTCCACCCCTAGAGATTTTCATTTAATTGTTCAATAACATAAAATTTCAAGGAATAATCTGGGAAAACAGCCCTCCAGAGGGCTCAGGAAGAGGTGCTCAGAATGGCTGGCGAGTTGAGAGGAAATAGCTCCCAATGGTTGACATCCCTGATCTAGATGGGAGTGGGCTTACGAGACAAAGGCCTGATCTGGGGCTTTTGCTAGTGGTGGTTAGAGAGGACCCACGCTTCAGGCACAGAGTGGCTTCAGATTGGAGGCAGGGAGGGCTGATGGAGGATTCCAAAGAAGGGGAGCCCAGAGGAGGGAAGTCCGAGGCCAGACCTTGGAGAATAGGTCCTTCAGAACAAGGTGGGAGGGGCCTAGATTCTCCTGAGATCTCAGGGAACCAATATGGAAGTCCTTTGTATCTTGTGAAATCCTACAGAACAATGTGAGCCAGGTAAGTGTCGTTAGGCAAATCTTTTAATCTCACTGAAGCCGAGTTTCCTCAGCCCTGGAGTGGGACAGAACTATCTCTTGCATAGAGATGCCATGAGCACCAGATGCTACTTGGCACCAGCATAGAACTAAGCCAGGCTCAGCAAATATCAGAAAAAAGAAGAGAATAGAAGTTCTTTCTCTCTTCAGC